TTAGTCTTGAACAAATACTAACAAACTCAATGGACAAATCAACAGTTGAGAGAAACAATGAAATAAATAACAAAATGCCTTGACATAACTTTTGAAATTGTAATTTTGCATAGCTGTTACAAAAAATTACGCTATGCCAACAAAACAAAATATAAGTGCCTTTTCACAAATTTACAGAATATTTCAGAACTATCCTAAACTGGCAGAATTCAGATGTCACCTTTACAACAATTTTATACAAAATAACACCATAATTTCTTTATAACTCCTTTGGACAGAATGTTTCATTTTCACTCTCATAATCATCATCAACATTTTCTGGTGGAGTATCATAACCAGAATTTCTTTTCCATTCACTATGTGCCCAAAGATTTGCAGCAAGTTCTTTTCGAAAGTCTTTTATGTCTTCGGGTTGGAATTGCTGCACGTCCTTTCCAATCATCAGCAACTCAGCAAATTTGACCAGGAATGCACCAATCAGTCCTAAGAGAAATGTAAGATATGCAGTGAATTAAACAATAAATCTTAAGTACATATAAATAATATAACAAATAACAACACGTACGATCCAGTTTGGTGTGGTGATCTTTGCTACTGTATATCAAATTTGTTGAAGACATTCCCCCAAAAGACTTGTGATTTTTGTCAAACTGTGAGAACTTTAGCAAATGGGGGATCATGTGTGCATACATTTGCATGTAGTTCATTCCTGCTTCATATGGCTCACTGTATATGGAATCGTATACATCAATCTTTTTCTGATTCAAGTCCAATACTCCCAACAGAAAGTGTGTCACAGCTTTATCATCTTCTGAAGGAAGCCGACATGGAAAAAAGATTTTGTCAACCTCAGTCCATGCAATTCCACATCTACGGCTGTCCCCCCATACATACGGTGTCAGAAATAACTGATTATCACCAGCACACCAAAACTCATCACTAGCATCTTCACTGAAATCTTTATACAGAAGTGCCATATAATTATCAAAAAGAACATCAGTAGTTGTGCATCGAAAAGGATGATCGCGAGGGTGCTAGCATTCCTTCTTTCTCAGATAATAGAGAGCAATGTCAATATGCTTCATAAAAAGGCAAAAAATAAAACAAATCAATAACAAATCAGTCATAAAATAATGAAAAATGATAAATTAATAATAGAAAAAATAAATGCCTTGTGAGTTATCTAACCTTATCATCAAGAACAAATTTTGCTATCTGAAAGCTCAAGGAAAAACATTTTGCTACTGATTTTTTGATGATACAATTTGTATGGTTTTTTCCTCACACTATTATCATCAGCATATAAATCAATTTGTCCCCTGAAAATTTTGAAAATGTCAAGTTAGAATTTAATCATGAACTTAGCCTTTCATGCTGAAAAATTAATGACAGGCAGTCTTTAAATTTGAATTAGAAGTTCAAAAGCTAAGGACAATTGGTCCTTAACTTATAGATTCAAGTTTAAAACTTAAGGAATGTCTGTTCTTAAGTTTGAATTCAAAATTCATAAGCTAAGGACATGCAGTCCTTAAGTTTGAGTATCAAATTCAAAAGCTAAGGACACTTGGTCCTTAACTTATAGATTAAAGTTTAGAACTTAAGGACTTTTTGCCCTTAACTTTGAATTCCAGGTTCAAATCTTAAGGACAAGAAGTCCTTAAGTTTTAAACTTGAATCTATAAGTTAAGGATAGTTAGTCCTAAAATTAGTCTTACAATCACAAAAGTTAATGATGTAGTGAAACACATTAAGAGACTTACTCTTTTTGCGACCTCTCCTTTTCTCCTTGCCCAACCACACAATGAATTTTTTCACTAATTTTTCATCTTCTGTGGCATAATGAAAAATACACATACGAGTATAAGTTGAATTTAACCAACCTGAACTCTTCGGAGTATTTTGATTGTCTGCCTTGGAACTTACTGATTTTCCTTCCTTATCAAAAGGAGATTTCAACTGCCAGCTTAACTTCTTGTTCCTTTTACCTCGACCAAGTTCTTCTTCAACATTTCCTTCACCCTCCATAGTCAAAGTCGCATCAATGTCCATTTGTATACTTGGAGGAGTAGGAGTAAGAAGAGAAAATGACGGACCATCATAACCAATACTGTCTCTCTTTCTTTTCCTTGTATATTGGTTAAGATTGTCATCATTGGTGTCCTCTTTGTTTTCCTCTGCTGGCGACACTATATATATATACATATTCATATTAGTTTTCTGCAACATGTCAAATGAAGAGACAAAATTTCAATTGTACATATAATAATTAGGGCACAATCAGTACCTGTCTTCTCCGCAGTACCTTCTTGTGTTTTTTCAAGAGACAACTCAGCTAAGATATTGCGTGCAACATTTTCTTTTTCTTGCAATTCCACATTTTCTTTATCTTGCAGTTGTTCACCATGATCTTTAGATGCTTGTTGACAAGATTCTGCAAAAATATTTACAAGAGCTAACATGTTAATAATTTTTAATTAAAACAAACATATATAAAATTAAGAAAGCACTGCCTAACCATTTGCAATATCCAAGATCATTCCAGCTACATCATCATCATCACATGTTGCATCTATAGATTTCGAACCAATCTCACTTCTGCCTATGTCTTGAGATTGTAGTCCAATTTTCTCTTGATACTGCACTCCAGCTTCTTCTCTTGCTGCTTCAAAAGATACTGTAACATTTGCAATTAATACCCATTCTAATAATTCACTAAAATAAAGATACAATATATAATGAAAATTTTATCTAACCTTGACTGACACAAGTTTGAACTCCAAATTTTTCTTTGTATGATAGCAGTGTAGAGAGATCATACGTTCCTTCTAAGCATTTGCATACAATCTCGCTGACACTTGTCCCCAATGGACTTGTTAAATCCTCTTGTGATTGCAATCCACAAACTCTACAAATTTTCTCTTGCACTCCTTTCTCTTGTTGATTTTTCTGCTCTTGACAATCTCCTAAATCTTCAACTTCTGCATGCACATGCATAGTTTATATGTATTAATCTATTGAATATACATTTCAACAAAAAAATCAAAATCTATATCTAACCTTTCCCAATATTAGTAACATTTTCAGTTTCATCATCTAGATGTGCATCTCTAAATTCTCTTTCATACTGACCCTCTGCATGCACATCCATATCATCACGTTCAACACCACATGCATCTTGGTTGAATATGCCAGTAGGCTCAGTAGCACGACAATGATCATCAACTCCATATTTTCTAATTAGAACACTAGATTCTCTATTTGTGTTCATCTAATCAGCTTTCCCAAACATGTTCATCAAAGTATCAAGCTTTGATCCTAGAGTTTTCTTTAAATCCTGAGAAAGCAACTAAGTTACAAAGAGAAGGACATGTTTAAAACTTAAGGACAGGCAGTCCTTAAGTTTGAACTTAAAGTTCAAAACTTAAGGAAATGCAATCCTTAAGTTTGAACTCCAAGTTCAAAAGTTAAGGACAAGAAGTCCTTAACTTTGAATTCCAAGTTCAAAACTTAAGGACATGATGTCCTTAAGTTTCATTTCAAAGTTCAAAAGTTAAGGACAAGAAGTCCTTATCTTTCAATTCCAAGTTCAAAATTTAAGGACACAAAATCCTAAAGTTGGACTAACTGAAATTACCTTGATTTCGTTCTCAATCTTTTTTTCTGATACAACAATTTTCTGATTAACTCTGGTAACTTCTGCTTGCAAATCCTTCTTAAAACTCTCTGATAATCTCTGAATCAAAAAACATAATATAAAAAAAAAGGTGTTCGTAAGCAAGAAATAATCAAATAAAAAACTAATACTATTCAAAGGCAGAAACACATACTCTAACAATTTCCTTAAGTACGCCTTCGTCAAATTGTGTGGAAGAAGACCTTGAGCCTCGATCTTGTGAAACTGGCTCCTCCACACAAAGAGGCTCTGTATCTTCTTCTTCCACGGGAATAAAGGGTGACACCTCAATCAACTTAAACACCTATTATATAAGAAAAACTAAACATAAGTATACATAACTAAAACAAATAAACAAAAAAAGAGATAGTAATTACATTAACTTACTTTTTTATTATGGAAATATTTTCTACAAAGAGCATCAAATTGTGGAGACTTCATTTCAGAATAACATAACATTCGAGGATAACCAGCTTCTTTGAAGTTCACAAATTGTTTCTCTTGGAAAATAGGAAGTACTTCCATAATCCAGACACAAAACGCAAAACGAAAGCCAACTAAACTGTAGCTATCAATATCTTTTT